AACATGAATGAATGAGTAAGTAAATCGGTATAGGTTCGGAGTGTTGTCATTCATAAAATCAATTTTACTGAGGTTAGTCAGCGAAGTCTGTAGTTATGTGGGTAGACGTATGAGTGAGTGGATTGTGTGAATATAATTGTATTGGTTTTGTTTTGCTATCCACATCCATCGCAATGTCGCAGTGTGGAAAATCTTTAAAAAGAATAACCAAGAACCCGTGACGAACAATTTGTGCAAACAAGTCATATAAACAAGCGGAATACCACAAATTTAGCTACCCATCTCAAAGTAAACACCATTTTGCTTATTTGCAATTACTTAACATGCAGAAGTCAACAAAATCTGGCAATGAGAATGAACCAGAACTCGAAGATGCTATGTCAGTAGACTCAGTAGGCAATGAGAACAGTAGTAACAGTGTAGATGGAAGTATATCAATATTTCAATTCAATACTATAATATTTTTAGGTTATGAAAGTATGAGTTTATCTTTTGTGAATGTTTGTCGAACCGCTTGTCCTCTTTTAAATGCCCTGTAGAAAAGGTTTCTATTTTAAAATAATAATTATAATAATAACATAATAATTTTAACACTGCTAATATCTCTCTCTTTTGTTTATAATACAATGTAAAAATATATGAACGCCTTTTTTAGGGTCCTACGGGACAGTACATCAAAGAATGCTGGGAAGAAATCTGTGAAGAGTTTAATATTGACAAGGATAAAATAGTATCCATTACCACTGATGGAGGTGCAAATATAGTGACAGCAGTGCGATTTTTCTTAGCTTATAATCACAGAATTCCCTGCATGGCTCATTGTTTGAACCTTGTGGTTGATGGCTACGAAAACTGGTAGAAATACACCAGACATGATCACCACGTCGCAACTCCATATTATACGCGATCTCATTGGCCTTCTTGGTCCGTTCAAAGAAGGCACGGAAGAAATCAGCGGTGCAAACTACGTGACAGCGAGTCTAACCATTCCTGTTTTAAATTTACTTCGTCAAGTAACAGATCAAGCTACACCATCGACCACTTTAGGAATAACTATACAACAGGCCTTGCTTAAAAAAATCGAAGATAAACTGACTTCAGTAGAAAAAAATCCTTTTTTTTCAGTTTCTACCATTTTGGACCCTCGCTTTAAGCGAATCCACTTCACGTCTCCAATTGACGTGGCACACGCAATTTCTAAAATAAGCGATGACATTCGTGCAGAACACAGGCGTAGAGGGCAACGTTCCCAGAAACAAGACCTGCACAAATAAACGCATCAGAACAGAGCGAGACCGAGTCTTCTATCTGGTGCAGGCATGAGAAACTTTTAAATGTTAGCGTATCTGCGCAAGAGGTTCCAAGGGCTGGCTCTATACCCAATGAACTTAAGCAGTATCTGGACCAACCATTACTGGATAGGAAATCAGATCCAATAAAGTTTTGGGTGAGTTGTCGACATTTGACGCCGGTTCTTTCTAATATCGCTTTAAAATACCTAATATGCCAAGCATCTTCCGTGTAGTCAGAAAGGCTTGCGTCTGTTATTAACTTGGCAGTGCCAGACAATAGAAGCAGATTGACAGGGGCGCACAAAAAACAGAGAGTGCTTCTCATGTCGATATCTGACAATTATTGGTTTGACTAAATGATTATATTGTAATGTTTTGAATAAATAAAACTACATGACTACCAATTCGTATTCAATTTTCGATACCTACTACACTAACTTTGACAATGTGCAAATATTTCGATATACATATAGATAAGTATCGAAATAACAAAATATCGATATTTTACACGATCTATATCCATACTTTCAAATATTATCGATATATTTTTTCATTTGCACATCCCTAATAAAGGTACAAGTAACCAATCCTAAGATTTTCACTAATGTGTACACAAAAATATCCCACTTGGTACGGGTTGCCTCGAAAATTCAACTACTAAAATCACACTTGGTACGGGTTGCCAACCAATATTCTGCTACTAAAGTCACACTTTGTACGGGTTGCCAACCAATATTCTCTACTAAAACGTCCAAATGACAGAAATCTGCTACAGTGTGTTGCCGTATAATGTTTTAAAATTATAACTTGAAGCTTTAACTTATTTTTTTATATTATAATTATAATCATTATGTGCAATAAATATATAATAATCTTTTGTTTCGAAAATGTTCTTGAAAGTTTTCATTATTATTTCCATTCTTGTAGGGTTCTTTCCCATGACATAAAAACAGAAATCGATAACTGACCACAACTGATCTAGCTGGATATCACCACAGTAGCGATAGCATACTCGTTCGCGATTCTACTCGAGAATGAGGTATTTCATAAAATAATCGCTTTTTCAAGTAGAATTCCTAAATCGATCAAGAATCGATTCTTGACATTCGATTTTACGGTTAGGTAACAAGTTTCAAGCACGGATCCCGAATTTGTCCATTTAGACCTTTTTTTTCGTGAGTCATTGGTCCATCACTTAGAGGAATGGTCCATTTCGAATTCAATGCTTTTCTTTGTCCAACAACTGAACAGGGTTATTTCATTATCGCACTAATCATATTCAGTGGCAGCGCTGCTAAATAGTTACACGCTTGTTCTCCAAGTTATGGGATCTGGTTAAATAATGCAGCGAACACGAATACCAGAAAATATCAAAAGGACGATAAATTGACAGTTAAAGATTTACTATATAAGGGCTGCCGGACTGTGCAGCAAAGGACACGTGTTAAGAGCAATTAAGGTATCAGCAATAAGTTGTAAACTCGAATAACGAGCAATAAGTGTTAAGTTGTTGAAATTATAAAGAAAAATAAGTGTATATCATTAAATTAGAACTTTGATTTAGCAATCCAGTGAGCGAACTTAAGAGCATTGTATAAGCTGTATAATTGTATACGATTTATACAATGCTCAAGAGTGAGTTACAATGTAGCCGATTTATCGAGAAAAATGTTACAAGAATATTGTAACGGATTTCTCGATAAATCGTCTACCTGTAACTCACTCTTGAGTTCGATCACTGGATTGTTAAATAAAAGTCCCAATTTAATGGCTACACACTTATCTTTATTTCTTATTCCAACAACTTAACACTTATTGCTCGTTATTCGAGCTTACAACTTCTTGCTTATAGCTTAATTGCTCTTATCACGACAACACTCTAACTAGAACTGTGTTTGCTGCACAATCCGGCAGGCCTTATATAGTAAATCTGTAACAAAACATTGCTTCTAGAACATTCTGGCAACTACGAATTCGCTAACTAGTTGCTTCTGGCAGTTTATCGTTCATTCGATTTTGTTCAATCATCTATGTTCGTCACACTGCCCTCCACCTAAGTCTGATCGTCCCGATTAGACATATTTGTGATACCAAACACAAAGCTTTTATGTCCCCCATCTCCTCTTCTAGGCTGGTGCTGACATCGTTAGCCGCCCTTCTCTTCTTGGAGTTTATTCCATCCGTTTTCCGGATACTCAGTTTCTGGTACATCCCTTGACTTAAAGCTGACTCGAGACTCCATTCTTGATCAGAACGTAACTCCATTGGAACACCGAATCTCGTTACCCACTTGTTGATGAATGCCTCCGCCACTGGTTCAGTCTCTTGGTTAGGAATTGTGTATACTTGTGGCCATTCATTGAAATGGTCCTTGACTACCAAAACATGACTATTTCTAATTTATTGGTGGGAATGGACCATCTTCATACACGCCTACTCATGAGCGCACGCAATTGTGCTGTTTCATCTGCCATGACTCCTGGACCTTGATCCTTTAGCTACAATGTTCTCAGCATATTTTGCAATCCTTTCTATAGCTGATTGACAACCAGTCCAATAAAACCTTTGCTTCAAATGCTCCAAGGATTTCATGTCTCTCAAGTGCCGTCCTCTTGGAAACTGCACGTTAAGAACATCAGGAATTCCAACCCTTGAACAACCATAAGTACTCGGAAGGGTTGCTTATTTTTGCTTTTCCATACTCGATGCAAGCAGCCATACACTAACTTTAAACTGCTCCGTTCTGCCCAATATGATTTTGTGACTGGCCTTCCTGTAGTTATTTCTCCAATCGTTGTACATTGCACTCTTGCACAGAGTCATCCGTTTCAGGTTCAATTTTATGCTGATCTTCCACCTGTGATGGTATACACGCTTCCTGCTCTTCCAACTGTAAGGACACTTGTGCTGATATCCAAGCTTCTTGCTCTTCTAACTGTGAGGAACCTTTTACTGGTTCACACGCTTCCTCCTCTTTCAACTGTGAGAACACCTGCCCTGACATACGCAGTTCCAGCTCTTTCGATTGTGAGGACCCTTGTACCCTGTGAGGACACCTGCGCTGGCATGCGCCCGTTCAGTTCTTCCGACTGCGAAGACACTTGTGCTGGTATACAAGCTTCTTGCTCTTCATACTGTGAAGATCCTGGTTCACATGCTTCCTCCTCTTACAACTGTGAGGATACCTGCGCTGGCATATGCACGTCGAGCTCTTTCGGTGCAACTGTGCTGAAAAACTCTCAAAGAAGGATTCCAACGCAGTATAAATAACCTCTACTAAACATTCTGGACCTTTTTTCCAGGAGTCATCCGTTTCAGGTTTAATTTTATCCTGCTTTTCCACCTGTGAGGACACCTGTGTTGGTATACACGCTTCTTGCTCTTCCAACAGTAAGGACGCTTGTGCTGGTATACAAACTTCTTGCTCTTCTGACTGTGAGGACTCATTTACTGGTTCACATGCTTCCTTCTCTTCCAACTGCGAGGACACATGCGCTAACAAACGCACGTCCAGCTCTTTCGACTGTGAGGACACCTGCGCTGACATGCGCCCGCTAAGTTCTTCCGAATGCGAGGACACTTGTGCTGGTATACAAGCTTCTTGCTCTTCATACTGTGAAGACCCCGGTTCACACGCTTCCTCCACTTCCAACTGTGAGGATACCTGCGCTGGCATATGCACGTCCAGCTCT